CGGACAAGACATATGCTTCTTAGACGTGGCCCGTCTCCTGGCCCTGAGGCCGTCGGCAAACGGCTCAGGGCAGGGAGCCGGTCCCTGCGGACATCCCCAGAGGAGGAGCCCACCCCACCAGAAAGAATGCGACGAGGAGGAGGAGGAGGAGGAGGAGGAGGAGGAGGAGGACGAGGGGGGGGAGGGAGGAGGAGGCGGAGGAGGAGGAGGGGGAGGAGCGTCGGAGGGCAGGGTGCGGCGCCCCCTCCCCCGTGGCGGGGGCCCTTCCGCTGCCGGGCTTCGCTCCCAGCCCTGGCCCCCGTGGAGAGGGGCCAGACGCACCCCCACAGTAGGGGGCCACATGCGAAGTGAAAACCACCCTACCCCTCGGAAGCCGTGGGGGGTGGGGGTAGGGTTCCCATGTGGCCCCCTACGCAGCGGAGGCGTCGGAGGAGCCATGGCTCCAGCAACCGCGTGCGCCAAGGCCTGGTGCCTGATGTCCGGTACCCCCCGACCCAGACATCTGGCGCTACGATCTCTTCGACGCGTGGGCCCCCTGACCTCTCACTCCCCCTCCCCAGGGCCGGCCCGTCGTCCCGAGCCGGCCTTTTGAACGGCCTCGCGAAGCCCGAGAGACGTGCGGTCCAGGAGCCAAACAAGTGGCGCCAAGCGGCGCCGCCTCGTTATACGTACCTCTTTGCCGCGCCGGATGTCTGGGGATCCCTGGGCAACCACTGCGAACCGTATCCCTGCAGGTCAGACTTCCGAAACGTATGCAGCCAGGTGAACCCCAGCGGAGGTGTCCGATACCCCAGCGACGATTGGACCAGCAGGAGAGGGTTCGCAGTCCTGCAGGCCTCCCAAATGGGTACCAAGTATGTGGGGTCGGGGATCGCAACGCATCGCCGATACATCGGCGACGTCAGCAATGCAACGGCGGCGGCGGGGTGGGGAAAATCGGGCCCCACATTGCGCCGCATCGCCGATGCATCGGCGATGCGGCGCGATCCTCCGACCCCATCATTACTCGGACCCCGTATGGGAGGCCACGAAGAGCCCCCCCCCACCCTGACATCCGCCGATCTGCACTTTCCCATCCGCGGCCCCACAGGTCCCGACCTCTTCCCAGGGGCTGGTATGCCGCCCCCGATCCAGAACTGATGTCAACACGGGGGAAAACGGGTCTTGAGGGAAACGGGTCCTGGACCATGGTGCCTTCCCGCGGGACCAGCTCCTCATCCCGAGTCGCCGTCTGACATTCCTGGGGCCCGCGGAGGGCCCCAGGAGCCTGTACATGGCGAGAAACCTCGGGACCCGTTTCCCTCAGGACCCGCTCCCCCCCTGGCGATGCTGGTCCCCGGGGCCCACGGCGAACGGAACCCCGCAGGCCGACATCGGAGAAGAACTGCCCCACGGAGAAGCTCACATCGCCGGAGGAGGAGGAGAATGAGGAGGAGGAGGAGGAGGAGGAGGAGGAGGAGCAGCAGAAGGAGGAGGAGGAGGAGGAGGAGGGAGGACGAGGAGGAGGAGGAGGAGGATGGAGGAGGAGGAGGAGGAGGAGGTTAGAGGAGGAGGAGGAGGAGGAGGAGGAGGAGGAGGAGGAGGAGGAGGAGGAGGAGGAGGAGGACGAGGAGGAGGAGGAGGAGGAGGAGGAGGAGAAGGAGGAGGAGGAGGAGGAGGGAGGAGGAGGAGGAGAGGGAGGAGGAGGAGGAGGAGGAGGAGGAGGAGGAGGAGGAGGAGGAGGAGGAGGAGGAGGAGGAGGAGGAGGAGGAGGAGGAGGAGGGAGGAGGAGGAGGAGGAGGAGGAGGAGGAGGAGGAGGAGGAGGAGGAGGAGGAGGAGGAGGAGGAGGAGGAGGAGGAGGAGGAGGAGGAGGAGGAGGAGGAGGAGGAGGAGAGGGAGGAGGAGAAGGGGGGGAGAGGAGAAGCCCCTGGCGGCGGCCCTCCTGCCGTCGAGCTCCCCCCAGCCTGGGCGCCACGCCTCCGGGAGGCGCAGGCCCGCGGCGGGCCGCGGCGGCCGGCGCCCCGCCGCCCGGTGGTGGTGCCCACGGCCGCGGCGGCGCCGGGCGGGGCCAGCCCTCGGCGCGCGCGCGCGGTGCCGCCGGGGGCCTCCCCACTGCGCTGGTGTTTCCCTAGGGGGCCGCATGCGAACCCGACCCCTCCCCCCCTCGATTTCTGAGGGGGAGGGTGGGGTTCGCTTTCGTGGGGGCTGGGGGTAGGGTTCGCATGCGGTCCCCTATTTCGCAGGTTGCGGCTCTCGGTGGCCGCTTCCCTGACATTCCAGCGCCAGCAAACGGCACTCCAGACCTATCAACCTGGCTGGACTGCCTCCAGCGTCGACAGGAGTTTGAGGGTCGACGTCTTGGTGCTATTGTTTAGCTCTCCTGTTCCCTGATAGACAACACCTCGCTGTCGCACCCCGAGGCAGGTAGGAAGGGCGGGCCGGGCTTTCGCCTGATACTATGATCCTGAAGCTGACCAATTGGGTACAGCTTCGCAGATGCAAGGCGGGCCGCTTCCAAAAAGTGGCTCTCGCCTTAGTGCCGCGCACACTCGTCTCAAGATTCGCAAGAATTTCGCGGATTGAGGGCGGGGTGTTTTCAACAGTAGCTCTGGCCTTAGCGCCGCGCGCAGTCGTTTGAACAAATTGCAAGAGTTTCACGGATCCCCACTGTTAACATAACAGGAACTGCGTTTTGGAACGATTCAGGACTGTCAGGGCGCAACAGTTACATGGAGTCGCGGTGTCGAAGTACCATGTTTGGTGTTCTGGCACCGCTCAAGATCGTCACAACACAACAGTCGAGATGAATGGCGGCGTTAAGATCACGAGAATTCGTGGATGATGTTTGGCACGCTTGAATTTCTGCAAACCGTTGTCTCCCAGCGAAGCACTTCATTCAGGGGAAATGAATCCGTGTAGGTGCCTATGAAGAGGGAGCTTGGAGGTCAGCTTTATTCCAACATTGTTCATGAGTCTTGGTTTTACACTGGTCCTTCTCCTCCTTCTCCTCCTCCTCCATACTGATGCTTCCGCTCGCGCCGCGCGGGTCACCACTCTAGAAGTGTCTGACGCTCATCAAAACTACCCAGACGGGCGAGGCGTCCGTAGGTGCCTCGAGTGGGTGGCGCACACGGCTTTCTACCAACTACGCCACCATCCAAATCCCCCCTAAGTCGGCACAAAGACACACACACACACATGTTCCACATCCGCAGCGTTGCAACCACATCTACAACGTTGGCTGGGGGACGTGGGTGGGAAGGTGGGGGGGGGAACATGGCGTGTTCCTGTTGAGGGCGGCGTCGGGCTTCCTGATAGCCCCAAGGGACATCGATCCAGTGGGGCTGTTCTTAGCTATTTCGGAAGTGTCTTCGAAAGCCGTTCCTCTCGCGGGCGACTTAAGGGCCCCTTTTCGGAGTTGCTTGAAAGCCTCGGGAAGCCCATGTGGAACTGCAAAGTCTATGGGGCACTTCCGGATTGCTCTTTTTCGGCCTGTCTTGGGGGCCCTCTCGAAATCTCGTGGGGCAATTTGGGAACGGGCTTGCAAGCATCTGCAACCCTCTTTGGGGTGGGGTCTCTTGGGACCGTTTTGAAGTTCTTCTGGGGCCCTCATGGGCCGCTTTGGGGTTCCCGACAACGCAACAAAACCTAAATCTGTCAACAAAACTAGAAAACCCGTAATGCGTATCCATCGGCCGCTGTCTTGGAGACCGCCTCCCTCTGTCTCGCCCCAACAAGGCCTAGACGCGGTAGCGCGACACGTCGGTTATGTGACAGAGGGGCGGCTGGGTTTATGGACCAAGCGAACTGCAAGATAGTCCCAGATAGCTCAACACTGCCTCCAAAATGGCACAAGAGAGCCCCAATGCTTCAAGATATCCTCCAACATGTTTTGCCCATGGGCGGCTCCAACATTGCCCGGGGCGGCTTCAAGTATCCACTAAGCCTCACAAGGGTGCCCCCGAGATGCCGAAATCCTTCAACGAACTGAAAGGTGATTCAGTATGGTTGTTGCCGTCTCGCCGTGTTGTTTCCGATAGGTTTTTGAGGCATCATGCTCCAAGATCGCCGAGATCCCCAAGAGGGGGCAGAAAAGCTTCACGACGGCCCCAGGAACCAAAGAGCGCCCTAAGAGCGCCCCAAGAAACAAAAGACGACTGTTCGGCATCCGGCAAGGCGACGCTAAGAAAGGACTCTTGTTTTTCATTGACGACCATCAGGACTGAAATACAAACCCAACAGAGCCTCAAAGGCAGCCAAAAGGTCAACACAACAAAACAAGGCCCGAACATGCCTCCAAGAGGCCCCCAAGGGCAATGCTCGCCTGAGGAGCGTTTCTGAACGGGTTGGTGGGGATTCTTTTTGTTCGTAACCGCAAGCGGACAGCCGCGCGGCGTCGTGGAGTCGCGCGAAAGGCAAGCCAACAACGGCCAGGACTGGCCAGGCACTACAGCAGGCGAGCGCCGAAAAATGCAAGCAATGAGGCGGGCAGCTAGCCGAACCGGACCGAGGCCGGGCGCGGGTGGCGAACGAGCAGCGAAAATGGCGCCACGCAACTAACCTCAGCACAGCTCAGAAGCCGAAGACAACCGAGCCCAGGCACACCTGTGACATCGACCTCCTCGAAAGAACTCACCACGTCTCCGATAACGCCGCCGTCGTCAACCACTAAGCTGCGAACCACACCGCGCAAGCGGGAGACCTCGAAGCGCCACCAGTCTCTGCATCCTACGTGCCCCAATCGGCGGGATGAGTCGTCAAAGGAGCATCTGCCAGTGGAAGGCACGTGTGCTTCTGCCACAGAACGGATCACGTAATACCACCAGATGTCAGGCCCATACAGCTCCTGCGGGGGACGCCGCGGGACGGTGGACGGGCCAGAGACGGTAGATCGATGAACCACCTGGCCCGCGCGCCCCGGTGGGAGCGCTGAGGGTCAGGGCCGTGCTGCGAATGGGGTCGTAGCTAACAGCCGCAGAGATACTGTTGCAAAACTGTGAGTGGTGTCGCAGCTAACAGCTGCGGAAATACTGTGTCAAGGGCGGCCCGTGCGCCTCCAGCGGGGGGGCAGCCGCGGGAGGCGGTCGGGACGGTCGAACCGGGATGATTATTGTCAGCATGCTTCGTCTCCCCGGGGGGAGCGCCGGCACGCTGCACCAAGTCGGTCGCATGCAAGGGCGAGATGCGCGGTGCAGCCACTGAGCCCGCGCCCCGCCTGCAGAGGGGCAGCCGCAGAAAGGTGGACGGGCCAGAAAGATCGGTAATCGAAGTAAGGTGAAGTGTAAGCGCCCCTGGAGGACGCGGCGAGGGCAGGCCAAACAGCTGAAGGGGGTCGCGGTTAACAGCCGCGGAGTTAGTGAGAAGACGCAAGGGCCAGAGCACCACCTGCGGGGGGACAGCCGCAGGAGGAGGACGGGCGGGCCTGCCCAATGAGACCACGGCGCGCAGGCCCTAGCACCCTGGAGGGAGCACCGATGGCACGGGCATGGACTGAGTGGCGCTCGCAGCTAACTAACAGCCGCAGAGCAAGTAGAGACATGGTGGAACGAGCCTCCTGAGAGGGGGCGACTGCAGGAGGAGGGGCGGCGAGAATGGCGCGGTGGCGGGGCAAAGGAAGGGGAAGGCGAGGGGGGGCGGCTAACAGCCGCAGTCAGTGCGAACAGAGCGAGGGGCCGCCAGGCAGGAATCTGAAGGGCGCGGGCTGTCAAGCCGGATGGCCAGCGAGGGCCAAGCACCAGTGTGCGGGGCAGCGCGGGGCTGCAAAGGGTGCCGCAGGGGCTCTAGCAGTGACGGGGGCCCGCGTGGAGGGGTCCGATCCCCGAACCGCCTACGGCGTGCTGGGGGGCGGCAATCACCGAGGCCGCAAAGTGGCGTCCCTGAGGGGGCCCTAAGGCTTAGGACGGGCCGGCAGCCCCAGCTAGCTGGGCACGTCCAAGGCGGCACTGGCGCACGCGAGAAGGTGCGCAGGAGGAGCCGACCAGCCCCGTTGGCCAGGAAGGGTTGGGCTCCGTGAGGCACACTGATGTACAGTATGGGGCGCCCGCGAGTGTCGTTGCGTGCGCCCGTCTATGCGGCCTGGGCGGGACTTAAGAGTACGCCCAGGGCTGGCGCGAGCGCACTGCCCTTCTGGGTACCACCGTCCTTGTCCAACGGTTGTCGCTGTCTTCGCGGGGCCCCTTGCCTTTGGCCTTGCCAGGGGTGCCCGCAGTCCTAGCTCTGTCGCTGAACCGAGCGCGGACTGCACCCCAGTTGACCCCCAGACGGAGCGCTGCGTCCATCTTGAAGATATCGCACTTGTGACTGAGCCATGCTTTGAGGAAGCGCACGCAGGAATCGGGGCGCTGGCGCGTGGGGTCAGCGCAGATGCGGCCCGACGGCGGGGGATTTTTGGTCGCCCATTGGTGCCATACTCCGTTGAAGTAGTCACCCAGGTCTCTCTGAAGTCGCTTCACGGTCTCGGCAGGAGCCTCGCCAATGGGGTTCAGGATGTCGACTCGCTCCAAAGGGGTGTTGTAGATGTAGAATCCTGTGTCCGGGTCGAATCGGTCTTGCGAGCAGTCGGCTTGCGCACTCCTGAAGGATGGCCAGGGGCCTGACCGGGGAGTGGGGAGGTCGTCGGGAATGGGGGGTGTATGCGTACGCGCGGGCCGGCTCCAGCGGTCGTCGGCCTCCCAGCTGGACCACCCTGCCCAGTCTGCCCAATGGCCGCCGTAGGGGCTGCTGCGGCTGGTCTCGCGACGCCGGCGCGGGCGGCGCTCACGCCACCCTTCGCCCCAGTCAAACTCATCCCGCGTCGCATTGGCCGCCCGGGGTTGCCGGGGGATGCCAAGGGAAAGCGGGGCTCCGCGCTCTGGGAGGCGCGCGAGGTTCCCGTCATCCTGCCCAGCAAGCACGGGGGAGGCGCATGGACCATCGACGGGCGAGGTGGGGCTGCAGGACTTGTCAGCAGCCTCAGGGCTGCCGGAGGAGTGAATCTGCACGACGGGGGGTTCCGAGCTCGGGGTCGGAGACAGGGCCACGGGCGCCACTTCGCGGCCCCGGCGCGAAGAGGACTTGCCGTCGAGGGAGCCAGCCGCAGAGGTTTCCGAGCCCACGTCCCCGCGGCCGGCGGCATCGTCGTCTCCAGTGGCGGGAGGGAGGCGGGCCGAGTTGGCCACTTGGCGGGGGGGGGTGCTCGGAGGAGGGGCAGGGAGGAGGAGGAGGAGGAGGAGGAGGAGGAGGAGGAGGAGGAGGAGGAAGAGGGAGGAGGAGGAGGGAGGAGGAGGAGGGAGGAGGAGGAGGAGGAGGAAGCCCCCATGGGGCCACCGCGCCCGTGGCAGATGCGTCAGCGGCAGTGCTCGCAAGCCGCGGGCGGGCATCGTCAGGGAAGTGCGAGCTGGCCCCGCGGACGTGGGGGGGGCCGGCGCCGCTCCGCGCTGACGTCGCGGAAAGGGGCCCCAGGACTTACAAATAAATACACACAGATAAAAAGAGCCCCAGATGTTCCCACATTTGGATTTCTTTGCCTTCCCCCCCACTGCCCATATTTTCCCATATTTTCTGGGGAATCGACGATTAATTGTGTCTGCGTGTTTCTTTCCCTCCTGCGTCGCGGGGGAAGGTGCCACCTCCGTTGCCCCGATCGGGTTCCCGGGTGTGCGGGGAGCAAAGGTATGAAACTCTGCCGGTGCGTCGGCCGCCTCAGAATGCTGCTCGCCGAACCGCGCCCACCAGGCTGGTGAGAATATTTCTTTTTGATTAGCGGCCCGCAAGGAAAAGTCCAGAGGGCGTAAGGACCGAGGCTGGGGCACAGCGCAAGATAATTAGCGCGAGAACGCGCGAAGTGCACATGCAGCGAGGAGTCGCCCTGTCGGCGCCAACTCGGGAAGAAACAGACACAAGCAGCCGGCCGCGAGGCACGCACAGCCTGCACCGGTGCAGTAGTAGAGGCCGGACCAGCCGAAGGCGGCGGGAGCGGCGGACGGAAGCGCGAGCAAGCGAGGAGCCGCCCAAACGGCGCCCGCAAGCAGCGACCACTTGCCAGCCACAGCACGCACGGGGCCTGCACCCATGCAGCCGCGACGGCCAATTCAGCTGTGGGCAGCAAGGAGCAAGGAGCGCAAGGAGCGAGAGGCAACGAGACAGGCAGAAGGAACCCTCACTCACGGAGCACCCGGTGCTCACCGATTACCACAAGAGCGCGACTGGAGAACTCCGTCGAATAGGGTACACTGACTGACGAGCGTGCCTTGCTCAGGTCCCAACCCTGTTACCACAGCCCGTGCCAAAGTGGCGCGCCGTAGCCAGCTGCTATTTATCCTCACTCCAGGAGATGACCCGGTGCATCCAAACTGCAGGGCAACTAGCTCACTAAGACTCACTGGTCCCGCCGACAGGCGTCTGCCGTGCCCCAGGCACGGTGAAGGGCGACTGCAGCTTGCCGGCATCCCCATGGTGGGTAGTGCTGCAGACTGGTGAGAATACGCAGAGCATCAAGAACTCCAAGACGCAACAGCGATGCTGCAATACAGCTTTGCTTCCCAAGTCCCCCACCCCCCCTCATACGCCCCGACAGGCATTCATCACGCCACCTTGGATGTCGAGCGCCTCATGAGGCAGCCATTCAACCGAGGGCCTCGTTTTAGACGAGGAACCGACCTGCATCCCGGATGTCCTCTCCCTCTGCGCAAGAGCTGCTGGAAGCGTGTATGTCAAGTGTGTGGGCGGCGCTCAAGCGACAGCCACAGCTTGACAGTCCCCAGCAGTGACCACCAAACTGTTGTCAAGTTCGAGCTTCAGGGTCGTGACTGGCGAGAAAGTTAGAAGCGAATCGCTGGGCCCGCTCGACCGACACGCCTGGTGGCGCGACGAAGACGAGTTGCTTCTAGTGGAGGGGGGAGAGGAGGAGCAGAGGAGGTGAGGAGGAAGAGGGGGAGAGTTCCTTCTCCTCTTGGCAGTGCAGGGCTACGCCCCTGCCCCCCCCCCCGCCCCCGAAACCCACCTGCCGAAGCCGACCTGTCCACCGACCCTCCCTCTGTCCCTCCCTCCCCGCCCACACTCACACACATCTTGAGAGGGGGATCGGAGGAGGGAGGGGGGCAGTGGACGAGGGAGGAAGAGGAGGAGGAGGAGGAGGAAGCAAGAGGGAAAAGGAAGGAGGATGGAGGGAGGAGAGGCAGGAGAAGAGTCAGGAGGGAGGAGGAAGGAGGGGATGAGGGATGGAGGAGTACGAGGGGAAGACGGATAATAGAGCAGACAGGACAGGGATGAAGTGCGAGAGGGGGGAAGGGAAGAAGGGTGGACATATAGACACAGGCAGAAACGCGCGGAACGTCCGAGGACGGCTCGTTGGTGGGCGGCGAGTTGGGCGCACAAGCCCCTGTCTTCGAGCCCAGGCCTTCTACACGTTATCGGCGTCATGTGTACTCGGCAACCGCGTCCTCCCAGCGCTTTCTGAGTCTTCTGGCTCGGCGTTGCATGAGCCTGTGCAACTGTACCTCTCCGATGGACTCAGGGAGGGGATAAGGAATAATAGGAGGGAGAGAAAGAGAGAGAGAGAGAGAGGGCGAGGGAGGGAGGATGAGGAGGTCCGTCATGCGCTCGAGGGGGAGGGGCCACGCCCCCCCATCCTCATCCCGAAACCCGCATACCGAAACCGACCCATCCATCGGCCCTCCCTCTGTCTCTTCCTCTCTCCCTCTCATTCACTAGCCCACCAGAAGTGGGGCGAGGGGGGATCACAGGGAGGGGGGGGGGCGGGGGAGGAGGAGGAGGAGGAGGAGGAGGAGGAGGAGGAGGAGGAGGAGGAGGAAAACGAGGAGGAGGAGGAGGGAGGAGAAGGACGGCAACGACGAGGACCAAATTGTGCATGCCAAGGCCCCCCCCTGAGGAAGAAGCTCACAAATGAGAGAAGCGGTCTCCTGAAAGGGAAAACCGAAGCAAGTCCTGGAGCCACGGCCCCCTGTCCACGTCGACGAGGAGGATCAAGAGGAGGACGAGGAGGAGCGGAAGGGCGAAGGGCGGAATGGGTAGAGCGGGGGGGAAGGCGGATAAGGAGAAGGAGGGCAAGGCAGGAAGTGGAAGGGGCACGGGAATCAGATGATGTGCTCGGCATTCGGGGGGGCGAGGCTGGGAGGCCAAGAGCCAGAGAGCACGGAACTGGCAACACGTGCTTTTTTTTCTGATCGCGTGCCACGGCGAAACACGCAGCTGAGCTCTTATCGATGCTCCTGTTTATCCACCCCTTTCCCTCACATGACTCCTCCCTGCCACTCCCCCAGACGTGCCGGTAGGGCGATATAAGCGCTTCGCACGACATTCCCCTATCACTGATTGCCCCGAATCTTGGACTTTGAAACAGCTACGCAGATCGGGGAGGGGGGGAATCCCAACAGCTCCTTGGGCGGAGGTGGTTTAGAGAGCCCGTTCTGTTCCACCCCTCTCTTCACCTTCGGGGAGGGTTTTTGTTTACTGCTCCTTATTGATATACACCCCCTCCCCCAGGCGACAGGGCCCCCAACCAGGAACCATGAGGACACCATGACGACCCGCCCCCCACCATCCCTGACAAACATTTTTTACCAAAAAAAATCAAACCGCATGCTGCCTCCGCATGTGGAACATGCGCGGCCAACCCGATGCGGCCCCCGCGCCATCCCTGTCATAGAACAATGTCAAGTAGACTTTTGGGCAAAGCCTTGAGCCATGCTCGTGGGGCCTACGAACACGTTGTATTGTTGTTGACCAGGACTGCGGGGGTGCCCGCATATTTCCTGCCGCGCGCACGGCTACCATCCCTGCCACAAAAATCCCAGACGCACCTCGCGGCTAAATATGGATCGTGCGCGGCCAGCCCGCGATCAGTGTCAAACTGTCTTTGACAAGGACCGCGGGGGTGGTGGCGCGTGGCCTGCTGTGCGCAGGCCCACCAGACAATAATGGGCGTTGGTTTTCGACAAGGATGGCGAGGGCCGACATATGTCCCGATGCGTGCTGTCACGTGCGCAGGCGCACCTGACGCACTCTGCACATGCCCCGAACATGGCGCACCTGACGCGGCTGGAATGTGCGGCGCACATGGCGCACACGGAGCACGTGGCGCAGCTGGCGCACCAGACGTGCCTGGCACGCTCGGCCCCAAGGGTGCCTGGCGCGCGTGGCGCCCCTGGCACGCGTGGCGCACCTCGCCCAAATGTCGCGCACCTGGGGTCGGCTTTGGTTCCCAGTACCTGCCCATCTAAAGACGACCGCTGAACATGCTCAGGATCGGGTGTTACTGATGTGTCGGGAGGGCGGGTGGGAGTGAGATAGACGACTTGCGGACGGGTGGGTAGCTTGATCCCTCCCCCTACCCCTCCCCTCTGGGCCTGGAGGGGTGCGGGGGGACGCGGGTCGTTGGAACGTCTGTTTTGGCCTAGTACGGCGCCACAGCAATTCGATAGAGCTCAAGATGACCTCCGAGATCGCTCAAGATAGCCATCGATGACTCAAGATAGCTTCCAACAAGCCTACACGAGGCTCCAAGGCCGCCCCAAGACGGCCTCAAGTGGCCACGGAACCTCCCAAAGACGCCCCCGAAGGGGCCAATATCGTTCAATATTCTAAGGGAAATCGATGCAAGTTTCCGTTCTCGTCGCTTTCGCTTTCAATGGGCTCTTGAAGTTCCAAGATGGCCCGAAGATGGTCCAAAACTGCAAGCGGAGGCCGACGACCAATGAGTCGCACCTACCGCGGGGTCCGCAGTCGAGGACGGCAAGGGGGCAGAGAGGAGCCTCTCATGCCCATGCGCCGGCGTGAACAAGGGCGCGCAAGATGTGCAATACCTGGGCCGAGAGGATAGCAGGATAGATGGTTAGAAATGTGATATGAGCGGCCATCGCGCGGGCCCGCTCCGCCCCGAATCCCGCCCTCTCCACGCGGGCCTCGGGCCCGCGGGCGACGGAAGCGGGGCTCGGGAACAAAAGTGCGAGGACCACTCAACACGCCCTAACATCCCCAGCGGCCTCCAAACGAGGCCCACCACGGCAAGGAAGGAAAGAGGAGGACCAACCACGCAGCACGGGGTACTTAGGGGAGTCCACCCGTCGTAGCGGGCCGAGGGCGCGCCCCCCAGAAACGCCCCGGCGCACCTCGACAAACCCCCGCCGCCACAGGCTACGGGGTATGGAGAACAAGAAAGAAGAAATATCAATCCTGCGTCAAGTGTACGGCTGACGTAGAACGGCGCAGTCGCGTCCACCGGCGCACAAGGTCGCGCTCGCAGGCATGCGCACAAGGCGCAGATGCAAGTCAAGTATCACGTAGATCAAAATGCGCGGGTGCGAAGCAAACAAGCGTGCGCGATCGAAGTTGTGACAGCATCTGGTCAAACTGATTGCAGCACAACGATTCATTCACAGGGCTGGCCAGGCCCTGAAATCATCACATCGAAATATGTGGGCGCGAAGAAACCCAAGAGGCACTTCCAAGATTATGTGCGGGATCCACGTTGCGTGGACACTTGATCAGAATGACGATAGCGAAAAATTGCTCGTGAAATATGTCCAGCATCGCTCGAGCCAAATACTACAACAGAAAGGTGTTGTACAATGATGGTTTGCATGTGTCGTTCCGTTAGGTAACCGGCATCCCATGAGAAAGAAGTCCATGATACGATAAGAGAGCTTGCGATATTCGCGGCGGGCGACCTGTCGGGGTGCGTTCGTGCCCAGGATGCCAGCAAGGTTTGTGCAGAACTTGCGGCGGGCGACGTGCCTGGGCGCGCTTATGCCCATAATGCCAACACAGTCAATATACGAAAGCAAATCACATGCTTGTGACGTACACTTATATATGTACATACCCAGACAGCAGTCATTGGAAAGTCAATCCTAGCGTCGCAGCACTGCACTTGTGCATGCACGAAACACATTCGGACCATTGCATGCGCGATCCCAAATGCGATTGCTACGATTGTCAAACTGCCCTATAGTACGAGCAGCAACACTATCAACCCAAGCAAATTCACAAAAATTCTCACCGATCTAGATCCAGTTGTTCAAGAAGCACGACCAGTAGCTGCACTTGCTGCCCGGGTAGTGTTCGAGGTTGCGGCGCCGCCGCGCCTCTGGGAGCGCTCTGCGAGCGCCGCCACGAGCACGCGTGCCGATCATGTGCTGCGAGCCTTGCGGCGGGCGCGGCGGCGCGATCGGCCTCCGCGCTCCCGCCGCGACCTGCGCGGCGGCTGCTGCGGCCCCGCCGCTCCAATCTGCGCCGCCGGGAGCAGGGCCGCCGGAAGATGCCGCGCCCGAGGAAGACGGTGGCAGGCCCATCGCGGCGCGGCGGCGGAGGCGCGGGCGGCGGGGCAGAGCGGCGGTCGGTGACAGGATCGACCCCCGCGACGAAGGCTGCCCCCCCTTAATGGTCGAAGCAGTGCGATGCCCCGCTCTGAGCTGCGCAAAAACAACGCGGCCCTGGCCCGCCACGCCGATCTGGAGAGCGCCCGCGCACATCTTGCAGATGATCATCGAAAGTGGCAAGGAGGTCGCGGAAGCATCTCTGGCAACACTGCTTATGCGTCTGAATGGCGGGCGCCTCTGCCAGCGCCAACGTTTCGATCCGCTCGCGGGCGTTTCCACCGGCGCTCAACTCGCGATCGCGGAGGGCCTGATCGGGGATCCTGCGAGCCCTATCGGTGGCCAGATCGGCGGGGAGATATTCGCACCCCTTATCGGTCATCTGATCGGGGAGATCGCCCATCGCAGTGTCTCCGCGAGATCGGCGTGCTGAGGCAGTGCCAGGATGCACGGCCACGATCTGCTTGATCTGATCCACGAGGGCCGTCTCCTTCGCAGCCATCTCGTCATCCTGGAGGAGAGCATCGAGGTCCGCACGGAATACATCGATGATCTGGCCCTGCGCGGGAGCGGCCGCGAAAGCGGAGCTTCCTGGGTCAGGCTTGGGCCCTGGAGACACAAAGGGCCCCTCGGCATTGGTCACTGCAGATGGGCGCGGAGGACGATCGGCGTCAACTGTGGAGATAGACGCGCCATGTTGCTGCGCATGCGCGGGGCCGTCGTCTGGCAGGTCCTGCCACAGCGGGAATGTTGACCGAGGAAATCCCTGAAGTGTCACATTGGCCGCAATCGAATCGCCCCACAACCTTCGCGATGATGCAACTCCCGGATGATTAGAGCCCCACGAGCTATGGCGCGAGAAATCACTGGCAACACACGCACGCAAACGGATGGAGAGACCGAGAAGGGGAGAACGAGGGCAGGCAACAGCAGTGACAGGCCTGGCAGTCTTAGCGGTCTCCGTTGTCCTCTCGGTCTGTTGGGTTTTGGCTGGCAAAAAGAGCGATAACTCAAATGAATATTGCCAAATCCAGTAATCAGCTCCAGAACATCATGAATGTGGGGAATAATCATGATGTGGTTGTGGTCGATCACTTGCCGGCATTGGAGGGGGATGGTTCTCCGTGCCTTTTGCAGCACCAACACATGTGTGTACGGATCAGCATGCCCACCGTAAGGCAAGTGTCGTAGGCGTCATGGCGCTTGCGATGTGGCGAACAAATTGGGCGGTTGTATCCGTTCGAGGTCGTTGAAGTCGAGCTCTGGGATGCGGTTGCGCACGGCGGCCTTCTATCATTGGCCCTGTGGGTGCTGCAATACGTCGCCCAGTCGTGGATCCCACGGTTGTCGAAAGCCATCGCCTTGCACCAGTTGCCTCACTGACAGTGCCGAAGGACAGCCGTCCATGGCAAGGGCAGATCTGGATAGCCCGATGTGCGGGAGCTGCAGCTGGACGTGCTCATTGGCGATCCTGTCGCGATTGGCCGTTCCCGATGCACGCTCGCGTCCTTTGTGCACGTCGGTGGTTTCGCGTTGCCCGAGGTCGGCCGTCCTGAATGCGGTGAGCAGAGCCACTGTCCAATATCCACGTCCGTGACGACGCTGCCGTTGACCGCGTCGGCGTGGTAGACTCGGTCGCGGGCGTTGCCACCGACGCTGGGCTGTCGTCGGATGGCAGTGCTGGCGCCGTGGTAAATCTGGTTGGCGCGGCTCGGTCATCGCGCCACTTCTGCGCCTCGAGCTGGCAGGCTTGGCGCGCTTCGGCGCCGCCCTGCAGCCGCCAGCCCAGCAGATGGTCGGGCGCGACAACGGGGTCACCCTCGTTGGCTCCAGCGTGCAATCTGGCCATTTGCTGTTTGGCACAAAGTAGGCGATGGCGTCGACGTTGTCGAGGTCGAAAGGTAAGTGGCGTAGTGGTTCGGCGGTGGCGCGTGTAGATGCGGCCACTAAGGTCTTTTCGCGAATCACGCGCGCTCGGTCTCGACGTTGGCGGCGGTCGAGCGGTGCTGCAGGAGTGCGGTTCCTGAGGGCGACCGCTCGCTGCTGCCGCTGCTGCCGCTGCCGCTGCCGCCGGGCGAACGTCCTCGACTGCGTCCGCGGCTGCCGGCCCGCGAAGGTGAGCGGGATCGTCGCGGGGGCCGCCTGCGGCCCCCCAGACTCCGCGAGCCCTGGCGCCCCCCGCGCGGGGAGCACCGACCTCCTCCGGCGCGCCTGGGGAAGGACGTCCTGCCGCGGCTGTCCTGGCCGCGGGCGCGGCTAGGGCCCCTCTCGGGGGTCTCGGTGTCAGACGCAGCGCGGGCGCAGCGGCGCGCTGCCCTGCTCGCGGCGCTGGCCTGGGTCAGCAAAGAAGCTGCACTGTGCAAAGCGAGGTCATCTGCACCGGTTTTATCGCGCGCCAGCGCCGTGTTCTGCGAAGGGGGCACGGAAGTTGTTTGGCGCCTTCGTCTTTGGGCGGCCGTTGCGCGCCTCGCCCTGTGGAGGGTCGCTTCTCGCGGACATCCGCGCCGGCCCGTGACGCGCGTCTAGGAGCTCGCGGCGTGAAGCGGTTGCCAGAGCCAGTTCTGCACAGTTTGCGCCGTTCGCCGCTCTTACGACGGCCTGCCTTGCATGCTGCGCATTCGGCCGATCCGTGACGAGTCGTCTCGGTCTCAAAGATTTGCTGGTCACGTTCGAGTCGGCGCATCTCGGCGATGGCCAAAACACGTGCTCGCAGGCAATCGCACGTGCGATTGGCGTCGCCCATCTTCATATTAGCGTAGTCGTGCATGTGTCGCTTCATCCATGGGCGTCTGCGGATCTGAGCTCGGAATAATGACTCGAAGAGCTTCGTGTCTGGTGGATCACGGCACTCCACGGCACGGGTAAAGCGTCCCAGCCCACGACAAAGCATTGGATGTCGTCGTCTCGCATGCGGGATGGAGACGTTCGAAGTCGTGCATGGTGTCGTCGACTTCCGTGGCCTTGTAGGACTGTAAGATAAGCCTGTAGATCTGTCTGCCTTTCAGCATGCGGCCGGCTCTGTGTTCCTGAGCTGCGAGATTCTTCGTGCAATAACGGAACGCAGTAGTAAGCGCAGCAGAAAGTCCAGCTGCGAGCTTGCAATCCATGCTCTCGAAGTCGTCACTGTCTTGAAGGTCCTCAAATGTAGCAGCAGGGTTCAGCAACGCAGAAAAATGCATGCCTTGGCAGGACGTCCGCAGGCGCTGCCGGAGCTCGCCATGACAATGTGTTGCCACTCTTGTAACTGAGTGATGCGTCACAGTTGAGGAATGCGAACAGTATCTGATCCCGCGACCGGGAAGGTGCCACCAAGAGCAATGCGATAGATTATGTGACGGGATTGGTGGCGTCGGCGATGGTGCACGCAGAGGAGATACATGACGTGCGTGCGCTGAAGCTGCTGCAGAAGCAGCTCCTGGTGACGTAAGTCGCGGTTGCTCCGCGCGGATTTTACCATCGGCGAGGGTCGGGGCACTGTCGGTGGTGATTCCGGAAATTGCGAATGGCAGTGGATCTTGGCGTCGCAGTTTCGGTGTTCGTGAGATCGTTCTGCAACTGCTCGACGCTTTTTCGTAGGCCACGTGCTCCGTCCTTGGTGTCGCAAGTCCTGGAATCGTCGGCTGTGCGTTTCGCGCTCTAGTCCCAAACGGGCGAGGACCTCCTCCACCCGCGCCATCTCAGCGTCTCTTTCTCGGGAGATCTGGGCGGGTCGCAACTGCACGTGGCCCGCCGCCTTCCTTGCCTCGGCCATCTCGGCAGCGAGGGGGGCGAAATCGCGCGCCGCAGTCGGGGCGCCCAGCTACGCAGTCTGGGTCCGCACAACATGCAATTCAGCCAGCGCAAACTGTAGGTCAGGTCACTCCTGCGCGACCGTGGAGACTCGGTTCTCAAGCGCTGACACGCGCCCCTCTGATGCATTAAGACGCCGAGCAATAGGCATCTCGGCGGCGCACAGCCTGCCGTGCAACTCGGACGTGGCTGTGGCATTCCCGGAGCGGGCGTTGGCAGTTGTCACGCCAACGTGATCGCGAAGTGCAACGACGTCATCACGGAGCTGTTGATCCGCAGCCCCATTACCCCAGCGGCAAGAACCTGCCGCAATGCCAGGATCCCGTCGCGCAGGGCCCTGACAGCAGCAGCACCCGCATCCCTGACGCTCACGAACTGCGCCTCCATGGTCCATGGCGGGGAGGTAGTCGCGCAGCGCCTGGATGGCAATGGAGTCGGCACCTCGGCGTGACTCCACACGGTCGACTTGATGTCGGGCCTGACTTCGGATCGATCGACCCTTGGCGACCCCAACGTCGACCAGGGCTAGAGCATGCTGGATATCTTGCCTCAGGGTTGCTGTCTGTGCCGCGTGATCGGCGGCCGTTGCAGCCAGACGCGGCAACGGTTGGGTCGTGCAAGTTTCAACCTGGTCTCTGAGCTTTACCAAACCACTGGCGGGGGCGCCGCTTGTGGCGCGGCGTCGCACCGAAGGGAACTCTGCCGTGAGCGCCCCTGGGAAGGGGCTGCCGCTATTGTCCCTAGTCGGAGACTGGAGGCGATGCCGCTCGGTGGCTCTTCGCTGCGAAACACTCCCAAGTCGATCCTCAACGGCTCGCGCGCGTTCAAACACAGGAGCCGACGTGGGGCCCATGAGGGGAAAAAGTAAGGGTCAGGGCTTGACCATGAGGTAATAGGCTGCGAACCCTACCCCAAGGATAACGTCGGCGACGCATCGAGACATCCCACAACTCATCCCTCGGCGGCAAGCAAGGCGAGAGGTAAGAGAGGAGCCGCGGGAATGGGGGGCGGATAATAGGAGGACGCGGCCTTCGCCCAAGGCGATGGTCCCAATTGGGGCGCGCAGAGCCGCGCGCACCTGGCACATGGGACACCGCTGCCAAGAGCCAAGACAGCGGCGGAAATAACGTTCGCCACAGAGCCTCTCCTTAAACATAACTAAAAATCGGGGAGGGGGGAGGGACCGAACGCTAGAACTAAGTCCTAACGAATTAATACAAGCTCAAAAAAGGCGAAGGCATACATTAACGCCGCCAACAGCGCACAGCAACAAGGCAAAGAGAGAGCCGCAAAGAGCACTAGGGCGGATCATGGCACATTGCCACGACCAGCCGCGGACAAGCACGGATGGCCACGGGCAAGACCACACGACGATCCGCCGATGATTACAACAACCCGACAGGCCGAATGCCAGCCGCCAATGCGTGCGGCTAGCGAGGGGATGTGACCAAGCGGTCAGATCCCCTCCACACAAAAAAAACGAACAGTGCTCGTGACCAGGCAGTCACGGCAGCCGAAAACTGTGAGCATCCATGCCCGTGGCCCGGCGAGGATAACCGCAGTGGAGGTAAATATGCCCGTGTCTGGGCAACGATTATTACTTGGCTGAGTTTGAATAGTCGTCCTCACTAGTATCCGCTGGCCCTGACTAGGGCGCCCCTATGTTGGCGTTGTCTTTCTTGCCTCGATGGGGTCTGTCCTTCTTTACTTCGCACTTGAAGGACTGATTTCCTTCCATCACTTGCAGCAACAACGCGCGGTGGATGTGCCGCTTGGTATGGCCGTCCGCGGTCATATCTCGCGTATCACACCATTTGTCGCTATGAACTAGATTTCGGTCCATCGTCTGTCTCATTCAACTGACATGTCCCAGCAAGGCACATTCGGACTGCTCCATCAAGTCCTTACTTGACAAGGTTGTAAAGACAGACTCAGCGTCCACAGTAAGGATGGACTTAATGCTGAGACCACCTAACTCAACATGTTCTGAAGCTGAGAAGGCGTTATGGGGTCCAGTTTAAAGATTACGTAGCGAAACTATGGTAGTATACCAGTCCTCGAGATTACGAGCGGCTGCCAATGTTCCAGCTGAGTAGCTGGAGCGCACCGGCAAGCGACGTGCCTTGCAGTTTGCACCAATCAGATGTACTACTGCCTTGCAATTGGGCGTGTGCCCACGCAGTTAAAAGTTGGCCCCAAGGATGCCATACCCCCTCACTTCGTCATCGTCCTCATTGAGGAGACGGTATCCGAAATCACTGTGATGGTCCACTTCTCCTGTCCGGGCCATAAGTTGATATCTTATTTTATGTGGACCTTGCTGAAGTTTGCGCGTGACAGTGCCAGGTCTTCGAAATTGAAGATCTGTGGGTTCCTGAACATGTTACACGGATGCCACGCGCACCGTTAACCGCACATGAGCGATCAATGCATACGCCGAGGCGCCACGTAAACTGGTGAACATGTCGAATACGCTCTTCGTTGCCTTCTCTTCCGCCACAGCACCCGTAAGTCCTGGATGCTGCATTAGACGAAGCTGTTTGATGTTTCATCCTGATCTAGCTGGACGCGGCCGCCCTCGGTCTTAGTGCATCGTACGGCGCAATTGGTGTAACAGTGCACGTTCGGTTTGCATGCGCCGAACGCATCCTCTACACATGTGACGCACTTGTCAATCGCGCCCCCCACTCCTGCCACGTTGATGTCGTCAACGTGCTTGGCTGTCAGGAGATTTGGGCCCGCCTAAAAAATTCTTCGTCATACGATGTGGGCTTCAGCCCGGAACCGCGCGCCATGGTTCTGAGCTTCAGTGAGAATGCCCTAGGGGCGTCCGTCGTGCCTGTGCCTGGTTTAAGGCGCTGACAGTGCTTGGACCCGCCATGAGACGAGAGGCCGGGCAGCGCGCGTAGCACCGAGGCTGAACCAGGTGGAAGAGCGAAGCAAACCATGCGCTCTTTCTCACCAGTGGCCTCTGCCAACTCACGGTAAGTCAGACCGTTCCAAAAAGCCTCATCGATCTCCATGGATGCTATGATCCTTTGTTTCGTGCACGCGGCCGCGCTGGCAAGCAATCTCCGGCCCGCTCGAAGAACTGCGCCTGAGCAGGTTTCTACGTCGACCGCTTCGACGCCCATTAGAGCCACGAAGACCAAGGCGTAGTCGCATTGCCTGTTCCATTTCGCCTTCATCGTTTGTGACAAACTTCCACTTGTACACGTATCTAGAGGTCATGATGCTAGAAGCATTCTTGACGTCTTGCATCCTGAAGTTCAGCGCGCGAACCCTCCGGTATATTTGTCGGATTGGCTTGTCTTTCTGCCTTGAGGAGGTCGTAGTCCTCGACTCGATTGACTGCGGCTGAGACATATACACGCGTTGTGGTTACTTGGTCGCTGTGTAATGACTCGCATTGCTGCTCTGATGAAACGATCTCGGCCATGTCAGCAAAAAATAACTCGACATGCCGGCCGTGGTCGTCCGAATCGGGATCGCAGGTCTCGTCGTAGTCGGTGGTCCAAGGTGCCAGACAAGTTTCGTCGGCGTCGCGGCTTCGAGCATGACCTATTTCTCGCAAGTGACCTTGCTCTTCACTGGCCGCAGCCACGAGAGCGTGGTCGTCGGTAACAATGTCGGCGGGCGCCGCGCACAAGGGCTCCCACGATGGGGGTCTCGAGTAGTTCCGTTTCGACTTGGAGCACCACGCGCCACGCGCCCATGAGATGCGCCCCCAGACCTGTTGCTGACTCTTCAGCAATAGTCGGCAATCTGCCGTCAAGAGCGGTCGGCGCGAGAGGTCTGTCCTCCTCTTTGGCGCGGCCGCCCGTCGCTGGCGCGTCCGTCGGGCCCTCGAACTGCGAGGGGTCCTCATCAAAGCCTGCTTAAGGTTTTGATGACTTTAGGCGCTGAATGATTCGCGCGCGAGGTGCCAGTGATGTCGCACATGTTAAGAGCGGTACCTTCTGACTCGCGGCAGTGGAACCCCGGTGTAGCGTCGTTGTCACAGCATGCCAGGGCACAGCCATCACCGCAGGGCACTGCCGGTCACCCGTGGATGGTTATAGCCAAACGTACAGTTACAGCGTCTTCCATCCAAAAGTAGCTTCCGATGAGGAACTGCAAGGCAAAGTGCACTTTGAGCAAGAGCCGACCCGCTGTAGTCAGCCGCCAATTTCCTTGCTCGGTCGGCAGGCAGCCAAAGGCCATGGCAGGTTCCCCCGCAGGCAAGCTCGCGACGAAGGCTAATACCATTCGCCTTGCCGCACTATCACAGCCGATCTCGCGGACAATTCAAACTTCAATACATTATGTGCGTCGTAAGTCCGGGCGCTGCACCGAGACTTCCCGACCGCCGACCTGCGCCACTGCCTGGCCACAGTCGGGGCAATTACGGGCGAGGGGGCATGGTCCGTTCCTTCCGCCCCCGTCGCCCTTGGTAGGGGTCGGACGGCGGTGGCCCACGAGGCCCCCTGGCAGATTGTTGCGACGCCCCGCTGCCGTCGTCTTTGAGCGCGGGGCTCCATTGATTTTGGCTACTGCAGTGGCTTGTGTGATGGTCTCAATGTTTCTTTATATGATTATCTCTTCTCGATTGTGATCGGACGCCCCCGCCCATTCTCGGTGGCCCAGTGCCGGTGGGTCTGGCGAGCAGGCCGGCTGTCGCCCGCGCAGCGCGCGGCATGGAGATGCCCCGTTGTAGAACTTAGAAGCACTGCGGACAAAAAGGGCTTCGTGCAGAAAACGCACAGAAAGCAAGGGTAGGTTGTGCCTTTTAGTTCTTCTTCCATAACATGTAAGGCGTGCCTTGAGACGCCGCCGCACGCTTCAACGACGGCGGCATGCTGGCCTCGAGCACGAATTCGAAGCTCTGTGCCTTTAGCCTTCAGGACAGCATTGGCAACATCATTGTTCAGAGCACCTACGCCCTCGAAGTGCAGGCAAGTGGCCGGCCCGCGATGCGTGCAGCAAATATGGTAGGCGTCTAATATCGCATGCATCGTCCTATCCGCAATCTCTCGGCCTGCAGCCCAACGAATACATCGGTCGATAATGCGAAACACACTGTTGCCTCGTTGAGTAGGCCAGGGACACATGTTGAAGGCATGACAGGATTGCCCGGCGTCTCCCGGGCTCTGCGCGCACGGCACGAGAACCAACGACACCTTTTTTATCATCATGCCGTACAACATCAATTCCTATGCGCGACAGAATCGTGCGCACCTTTGGTTCAGAAACGCGGTACCAGCGTAAGTGGAGCTCCCGCGGTTCCTCCATCGCGGTGGCCGGATCGGAACTCCGTAAGTTTTGGGGGCTCATCTGAAACTCAAATCTTGACCAGTCAGGCAACCTTGCAAAAGGCCGTGATTCCGCTGGTGGCGAGGAAAGAAACGGCGCGACGCCGCTTTCCTCTCGCCCGCGTCG